ACATTGTTCATCTTTAAAACGTCAGCTTTTACCTGTTGGCTTTCACAGCAGATGCCTCAGGTGAAGGATGGAGAACAAACATCTTCCCAAAAGGACACCCGAACAGCACGAGTACGACACACAACACCAGATGCATGACTGCGGACTACAGGTTAACGCTGGGGTCTGTGCTGGACGCTCGCTGGACGCTCGATGTCACTGGAGAGGAATGAATGAATGTTATTTGTAGCAGCCTAGGAAAGCAGGGGTTTATCTACTCTGGCCAAGCTCGGCCTTGGAATACTTTACACTGTTTTCAAGTCGAGCAAACGGATGGTGTTGAAAAGGAGGTGGAGAATAAAGGTGGAACTGAGAAAAACACTATCATACAGTTACATTCTAGCAAAGACGATAAGCTCAAACCTGCAGGAGGACAGACAGAAAATATGAAAAATATCAGCAAGGAATGGCAATGCAGCACAAATAAAGAAGCTGTTTATGAAACGGACCTGCATCTGTGTGATGTGTGATACGTGAACGTGCCTTAAAACAGAAACAGAATTAAAACAGATTCTCAGCACACGTGACCTATGTGATCAACAGGACAATAAACTTGCAACTCTGTAGTGTGAAATGCAAGAAAAGTTTGAAAATCTAATATTCATTTGAGCTGCAAATGTGCTGTTCATCAGAATATTAGCCTAAATGAGTTTCAAATGGATTCCAAACTCATTGTGACAGGCTTAAAATAACAGACAAGGGTTTAAAACCTGGTTATTAACTACTAATAAGTCAATGTTTTTGCAGGGTCAAAGATAAAAATGAGAACCTGATATTTATTTGACTCTGCAGGTAAATCCAATACAAGACATGATTCCCATGTCTACGGCATATTGGCCATATACATTCAACATTCTGTCTTTGCATTAATGTTATCTCTGTCTGTCTGTCTGTTTTTCTCTTTCTGTCTGTCTCTCTCTGTCAGTTCAGTTCATTTCAATTCAATTCAAATGAACTTTATTGGCATGACTGTGTAACATATCACAATGTTGCCAAAGCAATAAATATATTATACAAACATACAAATAAATAAAGGGGGGGG